CTTCTTGAGGTTGGCAACCAGGCAAAACACAAATGACAACCTATGACTGTGACAGAAATCTACAAAAGACATCAGCGTGCTTGATGTGTTGCAATTTCTTAAGTATGTAGCCAGGTAGCTATTGGCTGGGCCCATATCTTCGAATCTGCGATTATCCATAGAGCGCAACAAGGGGGACTTACGTGGTTGTCAAGTGTTCTTAAGGCGTCTTATTCCCAACCGAAAAGCTCTGATTGGTTGATTGTTTCTTTAGCCAAGGAGAACAGTTGTCAGTGAGCCCAACACCAGAGCTATTTGAATTGCTGAACAAATTAGAGGTCTGGGTTAATGATTTAGAGGTCTGAAACACGCTACCTCAAAGTAGTTCAAAAAGAAGAAAAACAAAATGAAGTTGCTAGTTAAACAGAACAGAACAAAACTGATAAATACTGGATCATACCGACATGTAACATAACATGACATTAGTATTACATAACAAGATATTATATAACATATTACCGTTTCTATCAGTCAGCATTGCTTATTGCCTCAGGATACATATAAGCCCATCAAGATGACTGACAGGTGTCAGCATGGTAACCTGAGCAGTGATGGTAGGATAAAAAAAACTATTTTCTGCCTCAAGCTAAAATGTTGTAGATTTAAGCTTTAAGAAAAATAACAGCTTGTCCAAAACAAAATCTCCTGTTGAGATTGTTGTGCTGATCCCAGAATGCCGTGCTGCTCCAACTCACAACAAGGTGACGCGCCGAATGGACCCTGTGAGGATTTCATCATCTAATGGGATTCCTCAGAGACGCACCTAATTTTCATATTATTATGCATGCCACTTTGATGGAAATGGAGCTACAGACTTGTTGCTTGTCCAGTGTATTTCTGAGAGCTGTGAAGTGAAGCTTGTGTGTCACAGGAGCACAACAAATGTCTATAAACAGGCTAAAAGCTCATCGTAAGTCTGTAAATTCTTGCAGACCTGAGCTGCTATCTTTCTTAATGCATTATGTATGTACACTACTATAAGCTGCTGCAAACGACATGAGTTCTGCTGCCTTAAATGTACTGGAACGAATCAGACTCTATATGTATTATGTAAGTCTTATTTGTTGATTAGACTCTTGTGGCCAGTGTTGAGGTTCAGCTGTGGTATTTAATAAATGAAACACTTGCGCTTATTGTACACTGACTGCAGCTAAGTGCTATGAAGACTCTGCTGTCATGTTTTAATGGATATTTTATTAGGATGTCTTGATTTATTCGGTAATGAATGCGTACATGTTTGCCTGAGTGAATTCTGTATGTGTGCACTGTATGTGTGTATGAGAGTCTTATCAGTATACAGGGCTCTTCAGGCAGTATGGGGGATTGAGGGCCACTCTAATCTGGACCCAATGGTGACTGATCCAGCTCTCTTTCTGCCTCTGCTCACCATGGGTGTGTGTGTGTGTGTGTGTGTGTGTGAGTGTGTGTGTGTGTATGTGTGTGTGTGTGTGTGTGTGTGTGTGTGTGTGTGTGTTGATGCAGATATCTCATTTCTCTCTGTAGTTTGTCAAACGAAGTAAACTCAAATTAATCTAACCAACAAGTTTGCCTCAAAGTGCTTGCAGAGCAACATGTAAACAGGCAGACAAACAAATCGGTGTGTTATTTTGTGTCTGCGTGTCTGAGTAAAGGATGACGTGGTGACAGCGGTGACTACATTTCCATTTCCTCCATGCAGTACAAGTCACCGAGCTGGCATTAATTATGAAAAATAGTTTGGTGTACTGAGTCTGAGATTGCACGCACTGGAGAGAGTTATGATGAATGATGTTAAGAGAAATCTGTCAGCTGCCATCCTGTTTGGTCTCCACAAATAATTGAAGGCTAGTGTACTTTCTGACAGAAACATGGTTTATGAGCTCTGTGCCAGTGTAGCGGTTCAGATCGCAGCCTGTGGGAGCAACACCGCCTCCTTTTCTTCTCCTCAGTCAAGAGTCTGTGTTAGTTTTAATGAAGAAACCCATTCAGCTTAACTTAACACTGGTACATGTCATCAGTTTGAGATGTTCAACACATCTCAGATGCTATTTTTTTTTTGACTGACCTCAGTTTTCCTCCACCTGCCTCATCTGTGTCTACTGCAGTTAGTCCCCGACTTTATCCATATTTTAATAGACAGTACCATGTAATTCTGTGTTTTAGACTAAGGTATGCACAACAGTTACTGTTCTTCTGCAATCATCCACATCATGATGATCACAGAAATGACAGACTGGGGGAAAAATACTGGATAGGAATGCATATCAGACAAAATATTATTTTATGTTCATATCTGTGATTTCAATGTTGAGGTTGTGTATGTAACATTTACATATTTTCTTTAGGTAGCTTGGATGGATAGATAACTTTTATTCTGCAACCCAATTTACTGCACTGCCAGTCAGACTAAATGGAGTTCTGTGAGGAGATTTTGGCATAGTGGCCAGAATTGGAATTGCAGGTCATGTGATGCCAATTGGCACAAAAGGGCTTCTTCAAACCCCCCCCATACAGAATCATTACAAAAGGAAAAGCTGTAAAACAATTACAAATTTGATTCATTAGGTTGACTAAATGAGCCAGCAGTCACCCAGCTCAGCAATAGAAAGACTCTAATGTCCATCCTGTATCGGTCCAAAAAGGCGGGAGCCTGACAAGTTTTCACTGGATGTGCCTGGTGAGAAACTTCCAGTGGAATGAATGATGCTTGCTTAAAGGAGGACTCCACTGATTTTACACATCAAAATCTGTTTACAGGTATTTGGGAGTTTTACTGCAAATAAAAAAAAATACAAGTGTATAAAGCCTTTTGTGGCTCCAGAGGTAGCTGTGTGAAGTCTGATAAATTGCCTCAAGTGATGTAACTTGAGTCAATGTTGGTTGGGTCTGAAGTTACAGAGAAGTGAGCTTACCAGACCTGCTCAGCCTCGTCCTCATCTCTGCTTGAGGCTGGTGGCTTGAGGCTGCATTATCTGCTACACACCTGGATCTCCAACCAAACTGCCTGTAGTCAACTTTCATTGTGGGTAATGTAGGCACCAGGTTTTGACAAAGAAGAAGAATGGTTGGATCAAAAAAGACAGCTCTGTTAACACTGCATCGATTGTGATCTTCTCTGTCTAAAAAAATCAATCAAAGTTGTCATTGCCACATAGGCACAGATGTGAACAGGTTTTCTCATATGTACTGTAAATCCTACATAGCCCAAATCCAGAGTCAAGAGCTCCGAATGAATCTCTTAATCCCACCATTTTGTCCATTAAGTGGTTTGGCTTCTCATGTGGTGTTGTGTACGTATTGCACTCTTTATCAGTCGTTACACAGTTGCAGCTCTTGGTCAGTACTGCTGAGTCAAGGTTTAGTTGCTTTGCTCTTCTCTGAGCCTCCCACTGTGGCGAGTGGGTGAGGATAATACCTCTAGATGCAACCATGTGGAGTGAGCATCTCTATAGTGATCTCATTAGACTGGCCTCTAATTAAATCCAGACTTCATTTACACTTTGCACCATGATTGATTGACGGACTTCATCTATCACATCACATGTACTGGACAAAGTACTCACATGAAAACATGACACACACGCACACACACACACACACACAAACAAAGTCTATTCAAACATCAGCAGGAATCATAAGTGACAGGCTGAGAAATTAGCTCTGTGTGCTCATGCAGAAACGTGTGAATATGTGTGTGTGTGTGTGTCCACTTCCATACACATCTGTAGTCATGGTGCTACAGCCTTAACTTTCTCCTTTCTTTTTGTTGTTGATTTATTTAGCAGGGAATGTGCCCATTGATAAAACATTGTTGTAAATGTTAGCCAAGAGGCTGTTTTTCATCTCTAGTCCCTGGACAGAGGTTACAAAGTCACCCTAAAAACAGGATATAAGATTGAAATTACATTTATTAAGATAATTTATAAGCAAAAGAAAATGTTAATAGAAAACATCATTCCCTACACGCTTATACTAAATTGTGTAGTAGTTTCTTTCTTCCTCATCCCTTTTTCTTACATTCTTACTTTCTCCTTCCCACATCCTTTTTCCTTACTTTTTTCAGCCTACTTCTCCTTTCTCACCCCCTCTTTCAGCCCAATCATGGCCCTGACGTGTTTTTATCAGCAGTAATAGATTTCATTTCACCTAGACAAGCCTCAGCCTGCAGATTAAAACCCCTAACCAACTGAGCCCCTCGCTGCTAAATCACTTTTACTGCTGCTCTGCCGTGATGCTGCATGCGTGTATTTGTGTGTATTTGAGTGTGGTTGAGATAGAGAGACATCGCTCAAGAATATGCACATCTGAGGATTTGGAGACTTTGATGTGTACAGTAAATATCTTTGATGTTTCCATTCTAAATACTATGATTGTCCATTTCTTTCCTCTCTGTCTGACAGCAGTGACCCAGCAGTGATCTGACCTGTTTCACTGATTATTTCTAGCAAAGCTGAAAATGTGTTTGCAGAAGCACTGGACAGTTAGAATAACTAATGATAGCTATCATGGCTGAATATACAATGAAAGTGTAAATGAGTGTAATCAACCGAAACTCAAACTTCATCAACAGAAATCCTAGAAACACATGCATTCATTGATTCATATAATTAATCAGGTAGACACAGTTATAACACCTTTACAATCTTACACAACCAACAGCTCTACTAGAAATATGTTTGTGAGGTTTATAATATCATTACGTTGTTGTGATTATATCAGAGAAAAGCTGTATTTTTTTGCATTACACTGTAGGCGCAGGTGTTCCTATTATTTTGTCCACCCTGCGACATTAGTTTCTGTGTGGGTGTGTGTCGGTTCATGTGTAATGAAACAAACATACTGTGTTACAGAGAGACAGTGTTCTCGTGGTGCCACCTTGTGGAGAAAAACGTGCCTTCAGTTAAACTGCTATACTTCCCATTTCTTCCAATTCCTCACATTTCCTGCTTCCTTTGCTCCCTCCTTCATTCTTCCCTCCTCAGAGATGTTCATGCAGTGTGGCTATCCAGCGGTGTGACCTCTCATCTTTGACTCCTGATTTGACTTCTCTTCACTCTTACAACCTTCAAACACTCTTCTGATGTAAGTCTAATGTTATCTATCTATCTATCTATCTATCTATCTATCTATCTATCTATCTATCTATCTATCTATCTATCTATCTATCTATCTATCTATCTATCTATCTATCTGTCTGTCTGTCTGTCTGTCTGTCTGTCTGTCTCTGCCATTTATTGTTACTACCTCTGTTATTTCTCTGCTTTCAGGTGTTAAGCAACTTTGCTGAACGTGAGTATAACAACAACAACATTTATGCCACTTGGAAAATAGATTTTTATTTTGTTAATTTTAAATTTGAATAATATGTGTTAGAGAAGCAGAATGTCATTTCTATTTGAATTTTGAACATTTTGATTGCTGTTCTGTTTGAAAGTCATGCTTTCATGTTTTTTTTTTTACACAGCCTGCATTACATACATTAATGAAAAACTTGATGTAACATCCTCAAAATAAAGTTGCCTTTAAGTTCATATTCAGACAAGATGAACATAATGTGGTCATTTTAGCTGCACAAAATTGAGTTTCAGTTTGTCGGTCAAGGTCAGATTTCAGCTGTATTAACTAACGCCTGATTGTATTTAAGTAATTTACACTACATGTTCTCTCTACCTAATTCTCTCCACTTAATTACAGAATGACCTTTTGAGTTTGCTCTATTACCATACTTACATAGAAAATATATTCCAGCAAATTGCATCTGTGTCAGCTGTGAGACTGACCTTTCTGTGATTTGATTAAACTTCACATTTGTTGCGCAGTGGGAGGCTCTTGTTAATGATGTCACTTCCTGTGCCTGTGTCAGAGTTTGATGGAGAGCTGGTCGGATGACAGCTGGAACTGTTGTCATAACCGGAGGAATACTGGCCACAGTGATACTTCTGTGTATCATAGCTGTGCTCTGTTATTGTAGACTCCAGGTACGCCTCTTTGTGTATGTGTGTGTGTGTGTGTGTGTGTGTGTGTGTGAAAGATGTTAAAATTCATCATTCATCATCTTACAGGAGACTGTCGGCAAGAGAAGAAGAACAATAATACATCAATATATCATCAGATATATGAAAATAATACTGGCAGCAAGAAATTTTAGTTATTTCAATTATATGGAAACTGTATTTTCGATTATTGGCTTTGGCTTAGACACACATTATTAAGCCTCCAATACTCACGTTTCTTTCAACAACAAAAACTTCTGCTTGTGCATCTTTTCTTGTTTTAGGAATATTGTAGAAATAGGTATCGGTAAAGCAAATTATTCTTTTGTTTACAGAAAACAACATTTGAATATACTACATTCTTGAACCATATGGGAGAGCAATGCCAATTTTAGAAGGGAAAAATGACCAGTATGGCAGCCAATATAGTGATGTTTATTTGTTTATGATGTATACTGTGTTTTAGCTGAAATGAAAATAGACCTTTTCTGTGTTGATTGTGTACAGATTTTGCACCAATATGACTATGCAAAGGAACTCCAAAGGCTGCTTTCTTAAACAAAAAACTTTATCAAAGAAGTTATATGTTTCTCTGTTATGGTCTCTAACTCTGTGCTGCTTGCCAAAGCACTGTAAATATCAGCACACTCTGCTGGGTAAACATGCATGCCAGTACCGACATGATACCTCCAATATAATGTCAATATCGCCAAGCCAACATATTAGTTTGGGCTTTATTGATTACATTGGAAAAAGTGAAGTGATGTCACCCTGTTTGCAGATTTCTTTGCAGGTTTTTAACTGAATTAAGTTAGCATTTAATAATGACATCAGTTTTGTGGACTTATACAATGAAGTGCACAAAACTGTGCTGAACACTGTTTTTGTTTGACATGTAATGGACTCTCCCTCTGCAGTACTACTGCTGTAAGAAGAATGGGTCTGACAGCGCCTCCATCTCTCAGCAACACTTTGCCTGCAATGCCTGCAGTGTTTCCGGCCTGGACGGATCGATCATCACCCCACTGTCCATGTCGCCACCAGAGCCGCCCGGATCCTCCGACCCCTCCAAACCCACAGGGGGGCAACGCAGTTACTGCCCCACCTGCTCGCCCTATGACTCGCCCTTCTACATCCGTACCACTGATGAAATGCGCAACGGTGGTGAGCGCATCACCTACATGCCCACACACTATGAGAACCAGGCGCTGGCGATGCCGCTGCCCGCCGTCCGAGGCTCCCTGCTGAGGGAGACCCAGCGAGGACGGCCTCCAGATTTCTACACCAACACCCGAGCCATCAGCACCGAGGTGTGACCACCCCAGAACCCCTCCAACACCACCCATACACACAGAGACACTCTTCTCTTCACTTACACACACACCAGCACCACCACTAACAAGACCACAACGATAATTTTGACACCTATTGCACCTACCAGTGAGGATCTGTTGGATAAAGGCTCACTGGTAGTGGAGGTTACATTATCACCTTTATGTAGGGTTTAGGGGTTGGGGGGTGGGGTTAAATGAGGATTGTCTAAGCCAACTGCTGTAGACTCAAGTGTGTGACAAGCTGGGATCACTTTAAAACTTAGTTCCTCACTTTATACCCTCAAATTTTACATTTTTATGTTCATTAAGATAGTAATTATATAACTGACAGTAGCTAAAACTATAGCTGTAAGGTTTCTTGTCCCTTTGTGTTCCCACATGAAGGGTATGGGTGTAAACTTGTAAACTGTCTGTTGACTGTTATTGTCTTTACTGACTGAGGGCTATCTTAGATAATATATGATTTTCCCTTGTTACACATATTTCTAATGACTGTCAAAAAGACAAAAAAAAAGGAGTATGATGACGTAGTAAATATGAAACAATTTTGTCATGATAAGCAGAATGGAAATGGAAATACATTTAAAAAAGGGCAACAGAAGGAAAAGACAACATCGCTTCTACAGTTTTCTGGATCTCTGGAAGCATGCTTGAGTCACAGGAAAGATGGAAGAGAGCGGACGACTGGAGCTTTCTCTATGCAAGCTGTCTGGCAAACTACTGCAGCTCTTCATCTCCAGTCATCTCCTTTCAGCGGTTTTTGTCTCATCATGTAACTTTATTGGAAGAATATTGTTAACACGGTGCACACCCAGTGAGATATTACGTGGCTGCACATGTAGATAGACATACAAGCATTTAAAACTGGATCATGAATACAGTAGTTCAAAGCCTTTCAGGTCGCCAAGGTCCGCACTAAATCCCCATTTTCGCCCCCTAAGGTGTAAACCTGTGAAAGAGCAAGGACGCTTAATCCCTTGAACGCAGCAGTGGTAAGCTTGAAACGAATGAGAGTGAATTTCTCTTTTGACAGTGATGCAAAAAGTTTGATATGTAAATAATAACCAGAAAGCAATGAACGCATCTCTTGATCCCATTGTGGTGACGTAGAGAGATGCACCCTCGGACTTGTACATGATGTATTTTGAACGAGGGAGTGTGATTTACTAGTTTGTGCTATTTTGTCTACACTCTCCTCCTATACTCCTGTACTACTCTCATGTTGAATCTTTGAAATGCAAATAACCATGTCATTTATTTTCTAGTTTTTTTGTTTCGTATTGTGAGAAAGTCAGAATACACATTTATGTGATTGAAAAACTGTTTCACAGTGCCCATTTTCTACATGACACTTACCCAGCATTGCTTGCCATTCACAATAATATGTCCTGTGATATTTGTCTTTATATTGCTGTGTACAGCAGGATTCAGTGAGGCTGAACAAGCAATGCAAGAAACCTCAAGGACTTGCATGGTGTGATAATGTTGGACAGGCATAGTGTTATCATTCAAACATTAAATGCAACCTCTTTTCTGCAGTGCATATAACATGTAATAAATTGATCAGGAGCTACTTTATTTAATTCTCAATTACTTTTCATTAAGGTTAAATAGATGCCAACTGCATTGACATTAAAGCGTACATCTTGAAACTTCTCTAGACCATTTTACACCAGAATTGTGTTGTTTTTTTCTGATTAACTTAAAAGGGCAAATAAATGTACACTCAAAGGTTGACAGGCGTGATCTAGCCAGAAAATTGTGATCTCTGAAGAGGAACCAGTGAAATAGAACCAGTGTTTCTCCGTGTTGTGTCAACTCCCACAGATAAGGATTCATTGTCATCATTTATTTATTTAGGTATTGTATTAACTATATATTTTACTACTTACTTAACTAGTTATCTTTGAAAAAAAAAAAAAAGCTTTTTAGAAATGTGGTTAAAACAGATATCGTACCTGACGAATACAGAAACAGTAATATTTGACAGTGTTAACTTTTGACAATTAAAGATTTGTAACTGCTTGAAATGGCTCTTTTTTGTGATGATTGACAAGAGCACACACACACACACACACACACACACACACACACACACACACACACACACACACACACACACACACACACACACATTATGCCTATTCAGTTTTACATACTTTTATTTATTCATTTATAATCAAAATGTAAAAGGAGAAGCAGAAACTGAACTTTTCTGTAATGTTCACGAGCTCTGAGGGCGGCATGAACTTTGATCTCCAGCTAATGATTGTCATGAGGCAAACAACCACTACCAGATGCTGAAATTAATTTTCAGAACAAAGCGTTCATTTTCCCCCCTCTAAAGAATGACCATTGGGGGAAAAACACAAGCCTTCATAGCTTTCATATTTTCCAAATTTGATCATCCAACAAGAAAGAACTAATGCTACCTGCAAAAAAACCTGTACAGAACCTAAATGCACATTAATAAATACTATTTATGAATGAAAAATAAACACATGTGTGCGTATGTATACACCTATATGCAAAAAAAAAAAAAAAGTGTCAGTGTCCAGTGGAGGAGGCGTGTGAGCCAGACGCTCTGCAGGAGTAAAAGCGCATGCGTGAAACATTTCCAAACCGGAAGGCGTGTCTCCAAAACTCCCGAGTGATTCATCTTGTTGAACACAAACGATCTCCGCTGCAACTCTTCTGACAGCTAACGCAAGCAACTCCACGGCGCTCCCAAAGCAAAGTAAGTGGACAGCTCTTCTGTCAACGCCTGTGTTTATTATTGTGTGTCACGTCTGCAGCGAGGAGAGAAACGTCCCCCTTTTTTTTTCCTCTTCTTCCTTAGCTGTCCGTCTCTTCGTCGTCCCCCCCCTCCACCAGGAGCCGGGCGGGGTGTTTCTGAGGGAGGTCGCTCCTCCTGATAGTGGTCCGACTGTTTTGGACTTCGAGCTGGGTTAGCGTTAGCCACAACTTAGCTTCAGCTCGCAGTTCTAGCCTGGCACACAGAGGTACTTCCTGTTTAGCCTGCATTCACCTGTTCTGAGAGCTAGCTGCTTGTCTACAGGTTGTTGTTGTTGTTGTTGTTGTTGTTGTTGTTGTTGTTGTTGTTATTACCGGTGAGGGGGGGGAGGTTGTGCTGACTGTACCGATAAGCTGTCTTGCCGCTAGCTAATTTCTTCTTCTCGCCTGTTATATTTCTCTGTATGTGTGTGTGTGTTGTTTGCACTAGCTAGCTGCTGTGAGAGGAGTCTGTTCGTCTTGCTGTGTGTGTGTGTGTGTTGACCAGTCAGACAGACAGACAGACAGCTAGAAGACCGTGCCACTGTCCTCTAACCTACCTAACCTGCTACTATGTCCCCCTTTTTTAAAGAGTAAAGCTGCCAGTGTAAGCTAGCCTGCTGCTGATGCTGTGAGAGACTGATGTGCTCCATGCAGGCCTGCAGACACCAGTGAGAGCAGCAGTGACCACTGACTGCAGAAATATATGTGCAAATCCACTATTAACACAGAATAAGACTATATTTAGTGTAGTTTTGAGCCACTGAGGCATTATGTGCAAACACTGAGAGCTCTCTTCTGCTGGAAATCAAAAAAAAGCATCAACATCTGAATTAATGAAGCCATCAGGTGACACTTTTAAGAACTCGGGTATTTTTGAGATCTCACAGAGCTTTTGTTTGACATATTTCCACCCAATTGAGTTACAGCTGTGCAGTAAAACATGTACTCATGGCTCAGTAACGTCACCACAGCTGCTGTCATTGTGTCACAGCATTTGTTCCACTGTCTGTGGATCAGCTCCAGGATCTGTCTGGGTGATATCACCACCACAGTCTGTGTATTTGCTGCTAACCTGAAGGAGACACTTGGGACTTAAAATTCACAAGTCATAACTGAAGTGGGGCTGGTGACATTAATGAAAAATAGTAGATAGAGTGTTTTGACCTTGAAATGGATATCTCTGACAGCATAAACCCCCCCCCCAGCAATGTTTGTTCAAAGTTTCAAAAATGTAATCAATCAACTGAAACCGACTGCTGACAGCCAATCGGTGATATTTTCTGCGGCCACTGCATAATTGATGATCTTGTGATACTCATCTCCACAATATTATATGGTTGTGATTTGAAGTCCCACACTCTTCATAATAGCATATTTTCTCCTTTTGTAAAACATTGTTGTCGTTAAAAGGGTTTGGTCTACTGCTTTTGCAAGAAATTATCCATTAGTTGGGGGTTTGGCTTGGCTATGAAATGCTCCATCTGCTCCAGTTGATATTGGTAATAGTTTAAGCTCAGGCTTAATTTATGTAAAGTTGATGTAGAGCTGCAATTATTATTCGATTAATCCATCATCAGGAAAATAATCAGCAACTATTCTCATAGTTGATTGAAGATTATTAAAGTATTTTTTTCAAGCAAAATATTTAGTTGTATAGTTTTGGGTCCTTCAAATATGAAGATACTCTGCTTGATGTCTTTGGGTTTTGGACTGTTGGCCTAGACATTTGAAAACGAAGACTTTGGACTTGACGATGAATATTTTTTCACTATTATCTGACATCTGACAAAATGATTCATGGCTCTAAGCTGATGTGTTAGGAGATTAAACTAGTTGTTTCTCTTGGCTTCTCTTGTTGGTCTTGGCTGTGAAGACTGACATGGAGAAATACTGGTAATAATTAAAAAAAAAACTATGGAGCTTGTGCATGCATGGTTGACTGGCAGTAGATTGTGGCTGTTTGAAGGAACAGGAATAAATCCAGTGTCTGATGTAGGCCAGGCTTTAGCATTTGTTGCCCACAAAGTGGCCTTTTGTTGTGTGTCTTGATGGCGAGGTATTTCTTTGTCATGAAGGAGCTACTTTACTTAGAGGTAGCATTACACAGCCAGAAAATGAACCAGTGCTGTGTATCAGGAATGAGTTAGCTTACATTTCACATTCATTAAATCTACAGAAATGCATAGTCTGTTGTTGTTGTGTTGCTGTTGTATGTTTTACAGACTGTACAGTGTAAAACATATTGTCACAACTCCAGGTCGAAACAGTGCACTACATGAGATTAGACATACATTTAAATGTGCCATAACAGTCAAAACGGATGAGACCAAGTATTTGACTATGAAAATAACTTCAGACCTAACGGGAAGTGAGACCGGTGCAAGGTGTCACCAGAAAGCAGACACTCTTGTGTTCACCAAAAAGCCTTAGAGCAGGTTTCAGTCACATTAGCAAAGGAAGCTAAAGTCAGTCACCTGGCTCAGTCTTGTTCCCACATTAGGATCGGCTGAAGTTACTTGTAACATGATGGGCGAGGGATGCTTTTACACAGAAGGGTTTTCAGGAACATTAATACGTACAGGGAAATTAACTCCCAACCCTGAGTGCTAGTGTCACAACCTGATGCCTGTATACTTATCAATCGAGACAGCAAAGACACCATTGTAACAGATTGCCAGTAATTAGCTTGTTAAGCAAACTGCGATTTGATACCTTCACAGACATTGTACATTGGTGACCAAAGAGCACAAACTATGCTGTTGATACTGTTAAAGTAAAATCAGACCCAGCCTAACCCTAATTGTGTTATTACTGTATTGTTTACACCCATTTAACAGGTTTTCCATGCTGCAATGACGGGACTAGTCTGTTCAGTGTGCTTATGTCCCATGATCATTCAGTGAATGAATGAATTTCTTTTCTGACTCCCATGACAGGGATTACTGCATTCATGTGTGTCTGTTGACACTGGTATAACTGAAACAGCAGAGCAATTCGACCCATAGAAACACACCCTTTCAGATGTAATGTGTCTGGTTAGCCCAGAGCCTGTGGGTGTAGTTCAGACTGTCTACACCACTGCACCACTGGCCACTCACAGTTTCCGTACAGGCAGTGGTTGGGTAGCAAGGATGCCAACTGGGATTCTACTGGAGGAGCAGGCTGGTAATGACTGGGTGCAAAATTTGCTGCTGTGTCTACAGTTTGAGTTAAAGTCGAAGAGGAAGCGGCTGTCCGGCCACACAGGGACAGCAAGAGTGAGAGAGTTTAGAAACAGTGTAATCTGGATAAATACTGTATGTATGTGATAATAACTAGGTTTAAAATAATCACCTAGCAACCACCAGTAATATGATTCTTGAATGGATAAATCAGTCAGCGTCACCTACCACATTTTATTGTGATATTTATTGATTGTTGACATGATAACATTTCAAAAGCCTTCTGCACCAGTGTGTGTACCAATGTATGTGAGTGAGGGAGATTATGGGATGTTCTGGTCTTAAACAGTCAACATTAAGTAATTATAATTAATAGCCAGTTCAGTATGACTGGAGCGTGTTTACCAAATACTTCAGATCCAGTCTGACTTTAGAGAATGAAACACACATAATAATTTCCCAACATGCCCGGTCTGTGTTTCTTATCTGGGTTTCTTTTTGTTGCAGCTTCTTCCATAAGTGAATCGGTGGGAGTGTTCGCTTTTCGCCTGCACGCTGCTATGTGTAATTGAATAAGTGTGATTGGAGCTCATGACTCTGTTGCTTTCCTCATGTATGTCTGCGTGCTTGTGCAGATGCTTGTATTAATATAATTTGCCTGGGTTAAGTGTGTATGAATGCTTTTTGTATGCATGTAATGTCATTGTGTGTCAGTGAATGGCCCCTTCATGCTTTTGTTCTCGACTATGTAAGGCAACCCCGATAAGATAACTCATTTCCTTTTGAAACACCTTCAGTAGTACTGCGAAAGGAACAAGATAGCTAGATGCGCTATATTTGACATCTTATAAAAGTATTACTATTATCACATCCAAAAAAAAATACTAAAGTAATTCATTGATTATAGATTATTCTGCCAATTGTTTTCTCTATTGATTGATTAATCGTTGTGATGTCTTCAAGTCCATTATTTTGTCCGACCAACAAAAATATTAAGTTTACAATAATATTAAACATAGAAAAGCGGCAATTCTTGACCATATTGCTATAATAGTACAAGTGTACTTGAGATATGTTTTTATGTGTGTTTTATT